CCGCAGACATACCGCTGTGCCACTGGGGAGCATATTAATAGAAAAAGGGAAAATTAAATATAAGGATTACAATGAAAATCTTATACCGCTGGTCACAACTCATTATCCAGATATATCGCTTAATATCAACTTTATTCAAAAACAAATTGATCAAGTTGTAAATAAGAAGAAAAAGAAAATTGTAAAATAATTTGAGCGAAATGGCAACCTCCAAATTTATATAGATTGTTAATTTTTAAAAATTCTAACAAAAGAATGAAAAGGATATCGTACCACGTAATAGATAAAATTGTTTATAATATACAAATAGACATTTTGAACTAGGAAATTTAACTGTTGGGCCAAAAGGACGGGAATTATTTGAGGTGTAAGGTTCTTTTGATTGCGATGCTAAAAATGTTACTTATGTTTTAAAATGTTCTATTTTTGGAGAATCTAGTAATTTGAGACTAAGGTATCATGCTAGAAATCTGGAAAATTGTTCCCTCCGAGTAAGTAAACATTTTTATTTCTGTAATACTAATTTCTTAACGTACTGAACGAACCCTTTTCAAAGCTTTTCCTTTTCGAATTGTAATGAAAATAAAAGAATATTAATATTAGAAAGATATTTCATTGACCGTTTATAAATTTCTTTAATTTTTTATTGAAAGCGAAGGCGGATGTTTAATAAGTAGGGATTCAGATGTTGTGGCACGTATTTTAGATGTATCTTAAATATGCTGTAGATAACTTCCAGGATCAGTGTAATTACCTTCGAAATGTATAAGCCATTTTCTCGTAGTGTAAGTCATCTAGCATTAAACAGAAAATACATATATCATGAAAGAGGGAGGAAAAGGTCACCCGACCCTCCCAGATCGCACAAACACGACCAAACATCAATCAAATCTATAACTTCCAAAGAAACTTTAAGGTTATTAAAAAAGTAAATGAAATATTTTTCAAAAATACTTGTAGCTTGTAAGATTTGGGTAATGCATTGTGATAATTTTATGGGTATTGTTGAAAATATTTATATGTTGATGTTAATTTAATGGCATATTAATTAGGTTTTGATTTGAAACGTTAATAATAAGATAACTTTTTGTAATCTGAATTTCTTAAAACAATATTGAACAAATTAAAAAATATTCAAACTTATGTATTTCATATCCACTTGAAACTTAAATTTGTTACTTTTCAAAAAAGTGTTTAATTGTTTTTTATAGTTTTTATGCTGAAGAGTAGCAGTAATGCTATGAAACTGGTTAAACAAAGAAGTTTGATAAATTAAGAACAATTGGTAAAAAAAGAAAGGATTAGAATTTTCTTATACATATACATATTTAAGTGAAACCACCTTGAATTTCAATTATGTATATAGCAAAATATTTTTTAACGCCAACTCAAACATCAAGATATGTTTTAAAGTTAAGCTACTCTCAGGGGCTTTTAATGATATAATTCATTGTTTATTTCCATCAGTATTATGATGTTTCATGACAGCGATTTCACATATCTTTAAATCCCCAACTTGTTTCTATGTGTAATTTTTATAGCAAAACCACATCAGGTAATCTGCTGTGTCCACCGAATGGAATCTAACCCCCTGATTTTAGCCGTGTAAATCTGTAGACTTACTTCTGTACCACCGGGGGACACCCCCAACAATACTAAAAAGTAAGTTAAATGTTTTAGATAAAAAAGAAACATTTAATCCAAAAGGTTAAATCAATACTACCGATGATTATAACATGTACACACGAAAACCAGCAACAGATTCTCCACTTAAGCTTTGAATTGTTCTGTAGAATGCTGTTCATTGAATAATCTCTTTTCTCTTTCTATATTATAGGCCTATTCAGAAAGAATAACGAGAAAAATATGGTTCTTCTAATCGCCCACATGGCTTTTATTGATAGTTATGAAAGGGCTTACAGTAATATAGAGGGTTAATTGCACTTAAGTAGCGTTCTGAACAACATCGGAAACTATTTTTGTTATTTTTAATATTAGTTTTGTGTCCGTTTAATATGGCTTTTAGATTATTTAGTACAAATAAAACATTTCAATAAATCAGCATAATTGATTGAACTAGATTGAAAATATCTCTTATTTTCTAAAACACCAATCCATTATCATCGACAGTAGTATTGACATCTTCCAAACAACTTAAGTGATACAGCTGACATCTCTCACCAATACAAATTATAAACATATTATTTCTCTTGTTCTGAAGAAACACGACAATAAAAACAAATCGTTTCTTCCAGTTTTTAGGTTTTCTACAAACATTTATGTTATTGTTAATAAACATTATTATTTGAACGAAATACTTTACATATGTAAATATCTGATTTCTGTGAGGGACAAAAAGTTGTAACCTGCGGTAAAACAAGTTCATTCATACTGGAAAGAGGAAATGGAAATGTTCAGCGGCAAAACATTTTAGTACCAGACAGGCCCTCTGTATAATTTCTACATTAAAGAAAGTATAATAAACTTATTCTTAACTCTTATTGTCACTAATAAATTTGAAAATTCCTGTTAATCAAATCAAGAGGTTTTTTCACAAGTTTTGGGTGATAGTTGCATGTGTAGGTGTCGCTTTATAAGAAATATTAGTTTCTATATAATCATTTGATTCCTACTCATAGAAATGTCTAAAACAATTACTTATTATTCTGATCCCAAGTGAAACATTTTTTTAAATTTAAATAATCTAAAATATCTTTCAAAGCCTCTAATTTCAGCGCTATAATTTTCACAAGTAAAATAAATATCATAATTTAACTAATTTAAAATTAATTTAAAATAAACCTTTTAATTTAGTTCTTAAGAGGTCATAATCTAAAATAAATAATATAACATACCCATTCAAAATATCTTTGAAACCCTCTAAATTCAAACTTTATATTCACGGAACTAAAATATCTACTCTAATTCAAAATATTTCTAAAAATCCCAAATTTGGCTTTTAATCTTTGCTCTAATCTGTCAAAATTTCTTTAAAACGCTTTAAATTCATAACTTAATCATCATAATAAAAACAAATTATCGAAGATGTTTGTATTTTGGATATTTGCAAGTGTTCAAAATAAGCTACTTGTGCTAGCAGTCCCTAATTATAAAATTGATAGGCTGGAAGGAAGGCAACTTGTCAACATTACCCAAAGCCAACTGTTGGACTACTATAATCGAATAGTGGGATTTAGCTGTCAATCTTATAACATACATGACTCAAATACGGAGCGTAATTTAGCGGTAACGGAACGAGAATGCGAGTCTTCGAATTTAAATCCCGGCACGCTAACTACTAGGCCACGCCCGACCTATTTATAAAAGCAATGATGTCACAACTTCCAAACACAATTGCTCGGGTTCCCCCCCCCCTAAGTTATTTTGGACCATAGGGTACATTTTAATTTCAAGGAATCACTTCTCTAGCTCTTCTTTTTATATGTTTTTCATTATATCGGTACATTTGTATTCATTAAAATCAAATACATAGCTGGAAGATTTTTAATATGAAACTTAATGGCAGGAAACAATGGATCAACTTTTTAGAGCGTGGGGAATTTTGTGAAAAAACTGTGTTTATTTTACTTGTACTTTAATACATGAATACCTATTGGAGTAACAAATAATTTAAGAGTCAGAATGAATTTGGGAACAAATTCATATTGTAATCCCTATAAACAGTCCACTCAGGGGAAGATTAATCTCATTTTATAAGAACGATTCCCAGTTCCTGTGTTGCCCTTGGAACTGCTTCCTCCATCCTCGATCATGCTCACTCTGCATGATGGCTATGATTTCGCTCTATTTCTCGATGACCCAATTTCTATTGTAACGAGTCTGTGCGATGGACAACGAGGTCAACCTCAGACCACACATACTGACAAACGTTCCACAGACCCTCCATCAGTTTGGGATCACATTTAAGTGAACCAAAGGAATAAAAGCCTATTGGGGAAATTAACATGTATGTAGTACAATTTTTTATGTATGGCTGAAAGCTTGTGAGCCTTCGTCAACTTAAGATACGCATTTACAATCTTGTTAACGAAACCTGGAGATATGCCATCTTCACCGTAATGACGTTTGGGTCAGGAGATTCGTAACCATAATCTTCCGGATTGACTCGGAGTCAGACTCTTCGAATGACAACTATCATTTCTGTCTTGTTGATCTCTATAAATATAATAATAATAATATCTGTTGTCTGTTACATGTACATGTAACTATTTCGCATGGTTTCGATGGATCTTCACCAAATTTGGCATGAAGGTTCATTGGGTCCATTGGGAGACACATACAGATTTTCAGTTTTGCATTTTGCGTTTTGCAGATTTTATGGGCGTTTTTGCTTTATTTTTTTTTTTTTTTGTTACTAATTACATA